TATATATATACCCATGGGAATTTAAGACTCTCTTTTTAAATACTGCTGGCAAGTTGGCTATTCCGTACAATGGGTAGGGAGACAAGTCAAAGGCTGGAGACCCAATTATTACTAGTATTTTGTTTAAATGATTCATAATATAAAACAAAGAAAACAGTATACGTTTGGCATAGAAAAATAAAAGTATAGTTTTCATAATATATTTAATTAAATTATATTATAGTATTTATTTTATAACATATCATTGAAATATAATGTAAAATATAATTATATTACATTATACTCTGTAATATTTTTAAAAATAATTTTTTTTATTTTATTATTTTATTAAAAATATTTTATATTGTTATAATTTAAATAAAAAATATTAATTAAAATATATAATATATAGATCAAAAATTAAAATAAAATAAAATATAAAAAATTAAAATTTATATAATATAAGTAAAACAAATTAAAATAAATGTATAATATAAAAAATATATTAAAAAATAAATAAATATAATTATTATAATAATAAATAAAAATAAATATATGACATTAAAAATATATTTAAGAGATGATATTATATAAAAATTAATAATAAAAATATAAATATATTAAAAATAAAATATATAAAATTATAATAACAAATAAAAATAAAATATATGACATTAAAAATATATTTAAGAGATGATATTATATAAAAATTAATAATAAAAATATATATATAAAAATAAAATATATAAAATTATAATAACAAATAAAAAATAAATATTATGACATTAAAAATATATTTAAGAGATGATATTATATAAAAATTAATAATAAAAATATAAATATATTAAAAATAAAATATATAAAATTATAATAACAAATAAAAATAAAATATATGACATTAAAAATATATTTAAGAGATGATATTATATAAAAATTAATAATAAAAAATATAAATATATTAAACTTATATTTTAATAACTAGGAGTAATTTTAAAAATTAACATTACATTCTCAACAAAATACTTGTAAACCAAACGCTGCAATATTATTTTTTTTGCATTTTAATCATTATTTTACCTGCATACCAAACATTGTAATGTTATTTTTCTTGCAATCACATTTTAAATTAAACGCTGTAATGTTATTTTTTCTATATTTTAATTATTATTTTATTTACATATCAAACGTTATAATATTATTTTTTTTATAATCACATTACTTGCAATCATATTTTTTATAATTACATTTCTTACAATCACATTTTTTATAATTATATTACCTGTAATCACATTATATTATAAAGTACCAAACGTTACCTATTAGTAAATACTATGCTTTGTAATGTGAAGGGTATGATTTAATTTTATGTTATATTTATTTATATTTTAAAATAAGAGTTATTATACTTCAGATTAAAATGAAAAACCCAATAAAAATATTATTATTGAAATTAAAGAAGGAAATTATTCTTTTTAATTCAAATCTGGGTTCAATTTTCACACATTTAATTGAGGAAGACCCACTTTTTCAACAAACAAAAACATAATCTATCAAGCAAATCACAAAGGTGGGCCGTTGCAGCTGTGAACTTTTGACTATAACAGTATATAAGGCTGAGACAATAATCACATCACCCTTTGCCAGAAAAGACTTGCAAAGTCTAAAATTATTGGTAAGAAAAATTAATATTTAGATTATTATGTTTATATTGTTATTATATGTTATAACTTATAAATGACTTATATATAATGAATTAATTCAATTAATCTAAATAAAAAAAATTAAAATCTAAATCGATCGAATTAATCGATTTAATCATAGTACTTTTTAAATTAGTTGGTTGAAATTAAAGCAGTAGAATTTTGGGTTTAGAGTTTTGTCTAGCATGGGAAGTGAAAGGAGAGAAGAGAAGAAGGGTACAGTACGTCTCCAGCAGGAGTCCACTTCCCTTCATCTCTGTGGCGACCCACAATCCTCAGTAAGACAACCAATGAAAACTTGAAAGCTGGCAGGAGTGTCATGTCACAGTTAAAACAACTCTTTGACCTCTATGAATACGGGCTATACCTATAAGTAAACCAAAAATATATACTCTTCTAATTTTACAAAAATATCTTAAGTTTTTATATAATTTAATTAAATGTATAAATTTTAATAATCATATTTATATATAATGTAAAATAGATTTTATTTTAATTAGAGAAAAAGGAATTTAAATTTTATTATTTAGATAAAAAATTATATATTCGTTAATAAAACAAATATTTAGATACATATACAATGTAGGATGAATTTTTAATAATTATATTTATATTTGAGGCAGGATGGATTATCAATAATCATGTTTATATCCAATGCAGGATGAATTCTTAACAGTTAGGTTTATATCCTGCTCACGTAGGATGAGTTCTTAACAATTACATTTATATCTGCAAATGCAGAAGGGGTAAAGAGCATAAATTTATAGTAAAATAAAAAAACACCACCAACAAATTATAATCAACTTTTTCCAAATCAAACACTTGAATAAATGAATGGAGACATGTTCACTGTTGCAGAGCGTGTGAACACGTGTGGTGAGCACCCTTCTCTGATTTAGCTGTCTACCTCTCTCTCTCTATCTACTAACCTTTCTGCAAAGTGCTAAAGGCAATCCGCACCCAACATTCTCTCTCTCTCGCTCTCTCTCTTTCTTTCTTTCACTCAGGTCTTCTTGGAAAAGAAAGCAAGGTCTGGTCTTTTTCATTAGTTGAACTTCAACTAAGATGTGAAAACCACTTTTCTTAAGCTTCGGATTGAGGTGCTTACCTTTGCCCCTTCTTTCTCTCCTCCTCTCTCTCAAAAGGGTTTGCTTCGGCTTTGGCTTTGGATTTGGTTTCTCTAGTAATGGCGGCTATCGTTTCTTGTTTTCAAACACTCCAAGTTTCCCCCAAGGCCATGGATGTCTTCAGCTAAGCCCCCGAGAGAAATCATTAGTCTGTTCTAGTTCTATCTTTGTCTTGGATTCTTGGTCGTTGGACTACCATCTAGTTTCTTGGGGATGGAGTATTGGAGTACAAGTACTAGGAAGCTTGCATGTCTGGTGTTAGTCTAAGATCATTGTGGATACATATACTAGGTCATGTCTGGTGTTTAGAGATCTTTCACATAAAACCCAGTTGCCTAGATCTTTCAAAGGAGTTTTGCTTGTTTTGGTTTGATTTTGTTACCTACCCTTTCGTGTGAAAAGCGACCATGGAGGACATGTACAGGCTTGATAATCCTGCAATCTCGCGCTCGAATGATATTGTAAGGGTTGATAACTTTGCTGCAGCAAACTTTTCTGGAGCCGTGACCACTGATTTTCTCAGCCCGGTTGATAATATACTTCAATTTGATCACCAAGCAGCTGATACAGATGTTACTGGATCGGACATGTCTGATCTGATCAAGACCCAGATCGCCAGTCACCCTCGTTATCCAAACCTAGTATCTGCTTACATAGAATGCCAAAAGGTGGTTGTTATGTTTTTAACTTTTTTAAGTTTAATTTTTTTATGATTAATTATCATAATTTATGATTCTCCAATGCAAGAGATGCTGCGGGTGGAGGGTTTGGTCCAGCTTTTATTTCTCTTTAATTATTATCTTCTTTTGTATACATTAACAGATTGGAGCACCGCCTGAGTTGGTGTCTCTTCTTGAAGAAATTGGCCGAGAGAACCACCCTATACGGGGTTGCAGTGAGATAGGAGCTGATCCAGAACTAGACGAGTTCATGGTACTTACAGTCAAAGATTCTTCTTTTTGTCTTTGTTAAAAAAAAAAACAACAAAAAACCAAGTCTTTTATCTCTCCACGCTTTGTTTTGTTGTCTAGAAAATGTAAGAAAAAACTTGTTGTTGCATGAATGAAAACCATTATTCTACCTGTCATGTTGGGTGACTTTCCCTTGCTCTTCCTTTTTCCTTTGAAGGAATCATACTGTGAAGTTCTTCACAGATACAAAGAAGAGCTATCAAAGCCGTTCGATGAAGCGACAACCTTCTTGAGCAACATCGAATCACAGCTAAGTAATCTCTGTAAAGGAGCACTGACAAAAACCTTGGCGTAAAGTTTTTGCACTTCTGATTTTTTTTCCCTCATCTCATCCAAAATGATGTATTTGCCCTTCAGTAGTACTATATTTGGTAAAAGGGTAATGTTGTTTTTTTTTTTTTCCTTTTTGGCCATTAAATATTCAGTGAATGTGGTGGTGGAAGACTCTAATGAGTTTCAGTCTCCTGCTACTACTGTGCATGTACAAAAAAGAAATAGTGTCTTCTCTCTCATTTAGTTGAAATGTTGGGAAAAACCTTAAAGTAAAGTTTCATGAACTGTGCTCTTACATAATTTGTTTATTGTTTTTCTTCTGCTCTCTTTTGTCTACTTACCTATATTCTTACCATGTTTGAGTTGCTTGTGTTTCTTGAATTATTGTTTGCACTTTAAGCAGTAAACAACAGCTGCATGGTGGATCTCTAATTTCCAGGGACCTGGTTAGAGCACCATGGGCAATAATGAGCTTTAGATGTAGCTATTTTCTCTCTTCCCAACACTGCCATGTTGGTGTTTTTTCCCTCATTCTGAGGTTTTTCCTTGGGTTTTTTTCTCCTATGACCCTATGTAAGTTAATAGAAGAACATAACATTTCTTTTTTTTAAAAAAAAATAGCAATAATTTGTGTTATGGTGTTAACCTTATAATTAGGTTTAACATCTGTCTAATAATCATGTCTTTATATTTTCTCTTTAATTAAATGATTCATGAGCTTGTGAGAACGGATGACTTTACTTAAATTTAACAACTCCTCTTGATCATCTCCGTCTCTATGTTATTCAGATTCAAAATGAGTGTAAGATATTTTATTGATTGGATATGCATTGGATGTGAAAATGTTTAAAAAAAAATGAAGAGTCAACGTAACTAAACGAGATGCTTACGTTTCTTAGGTCAATTGATTGAAGCATCTAGACGCAATAGTATTCAAATTAACTAATTAAATTTAAATTTGATTTACATTTTACCTGTTGTTGGTTTGAGAATATTAGTTAACAAATTAGATTTTTTATCTCAACGTTAGTCCCTTTTACAAATTTTCGTCCATCATTCACCAAGAGGAACCTCGGTGTATAATATTACAGATTCCCTTGAATTTCTAAATCAAATAAAGAAAATTGCACCAAAGAATTGCCTGCATGATAACTATGAATGCGATGCACGAATTATTTCTAATGTCTACTGCGTTAAAATTGTCGATGAGGGTTGCAATGATAAGTTTGATTTCATCAGAAGCACATTTTAGAACAAGAACATTTTCTGATTGGGTGGCAATGGTTCTTGCAGAGCAGAAGACAGCTTTCCAGGCAGACCAATTTTGGTCTTTGGCTTTGCGTATAGACGTCCTCTACTTGTATTTTCAGATTTACTGTCTATGATTCATTAATTGCTTGTCAATGCTTGTGCATGTCAGTTTGTTCATGGTGAATTTTGTTTTAACTATAAAACTTAAATGTAGCTGTCAGGATTTCACCAGGTTTTTTAACTTGGAGGACATTTACCGGACCTCATATGCTTTGCTTGACAGATGAAGCTGCTGGGACTTCTGAGGAAGAGTTAAGCGGTGGGGAGGCGGAGGCTTCTGAGAGTCAAGAGTCTGCAGTTGCCCGTCCATGCCAGGACATCAAAGGAATGCTCATGCGCAAATACAGTGGCTACTTGAGCAGTTTGCGAAAAGAATTCTTGAAGAAAAGAAAGAAGGGAAAGCTACCGAAAGATGCAAGGATGGCACTGCTAGAATGGTGGAACAATCACTATAGATGGCCATATCCTACGGTAATCACAGTACAATCTTAATTACTTGGTGCATTTAGTTTAATTTGTTCCTTTTTTCTATTTCCTTGCAAATCTCCTTCATCATCTCAAAAGACATGTCATTTCATTTGTAAATTTCTTGTTTTGCTGTCATTAGGGTTATGTTCACTGGGACTAATGTTGTTGGAGCATCGTCTCCTCTCCTTCTGTAGAAAGAATGCATTGTCCTTGAACCCTAAATTCTGTTAGCGTGAAGTAAATTTTTATTAATATATGGCAAACCATACAACAGTTAATCACCGGTAAGTCCTAAAACAATGACTGAACAAGCTTGTTTTGTTTGAAGAATTGTTTTCAACCATGATGTTACAAAGGAAAAAGAGGTATAAGAGCTCTGAAGGAGTGTTGGAACTCATTTTAATTCATTTTCTTCTCATCAAGTTATAGAGTGGGGAGGGGGGTTGAACCTTGAAGCACAGGCAGCAAAGTATTGTTCTATTGTTTATGAATATATAGCAAACGATACAACAATGCGTCTATAAGCAAAGGTATCTTCCACAGAGGTAGCAAAATATAGTTCTATTTGGAAGATATTTTCAGTCACTGTTAAGTAACTAACTGAACAGCCTTACTCTTGGTGCGCAAGGGTAGAAACAAGCTTCATGTGTTTGGTTTTTCTTTTTCTCCCATAAGATATATATATATATATGTATGTATATGTTTTTCTTGCTGGAAACTTGCTAGAACGTTTAGGAAAGGGTGTCTGTGTGTGGTGTTGCAGGAGGAGGAGAAGTTGCAGTTGTCTGAGATAACAGGATTGGACCAGAAGCAAATCAACAATTGGTTCATCAACCAGAGGAAGCGGCACTGGAAACCATCTGAGGACATGAAATTTGCTCTCTTCGAGGGTGTTGCTGGAAACGCGGGAGGACCAATGTATCTAGATGCTGGAGTTGGAACTGGAAGTGATAATATTTGATCAAAAAACAACAGGACTACCCCTCCCCCACATGTAATAATTTAGTTTCGCAATATGTTTTTTCATCTGCAATCCTCACATGTATATGTAAATCTTGTTATTTTTAATCTTTTACGTAATTTTTCTTCCAAGTTATTAACCAGCATAATGTTGCAAGAAGGAGAAAACAAGTACAAAAAAGATGCAGCATGGCTTCCCCTTTATGCCAGTGGTGTCATTGAATATGATTTTACTGGTCTAGGAGTGACAAACTGAAACCTTGCAGTGTCCCTGATGGATAACTCTTTGTGACAGTTCAAACATGGGGCTTGGAAAAAGCACCAGGTTTTCAGTGGTTCCCTTGTCTGATAAATTTTGGGTCAAGGGTCCTGATGTTTTTCCTGACTCCTGGTTTTTTCTTGTTACGTTTCGAAGTCTCATTCGAGGAGTCTTTGACAAGGAGCATCAGCTTTTTCTTTTAATGTTTTCTTAATCGTGTGGTCTTGTAAGTAAGTTATATTTAAGGCACTCTTAGATTCTGTTGAAGTCATTCTCCACATGCCTGTTTTAACTTAAAAAAGCATCTCTTTATGTTACACTTTTCTGCTGAACCTTTGTTTTTCTACCCCTTTTTAGCATTCAAGATAGTATTCTAGGACTCAAAATTATTTAGGAAATGAAAATTTCAATGGATGGATTGTTGGGTTTGATTACTTTATTTTTATCCTGATTTCCGTTTAAAATTATGCCAAAATCTTAAAAGAACTATATTCGAGAATTACTTCCTAAGTGTAGCTAAGGTTCGGCTGAATGCATAAACATAGAAGTTCCTCGAATATTGTTTGTTGAGCACCATTGGAATTTATCCCAATCATTTAGCTCATGAACACATCCTCTGTCAGAGCTCAGGCTCTTTGCTTGAAAGCCATCATTTCCATCTATGATGCTGGAGAGAGAGGATGATGCTTAGCAGCTCGAACTTCGAAGGCCACAGAAGAATACTGATGGCTCGTCGGATTAGGCCCAGGTGGATTTTCCTGCGGCAATGTTGCAACACCCACCACGTGTGCCTGGACTCACCAGGCTTATGCTAATAGCCATCTGTATGAGTCCCTGTGGCCCAAGAAAACAGATGGGGTAACAATTTGGGGTTCATTATCGATCAAGTTGTCTTGCTGAACTCAACTTCTAAGACTTTACGTTCACATTAAGTAGAATATTGTGCAATCTTCTGCAGAGTCGAGGGCTGCTGAAGTAAGAAAATTTTGGATAGATTTCCAGACAAAACCAAGATTTTGTTTTTGTTGGATGTTTTTCATTTTATGTTTGATAGTATATGTGTTATGAAATCTTACATCGAATTGATAAAAGAGAGATTTTGAGTTTGTAAATATAGATTGTACATCTTAATAAGTTAATATTTTGGAGAAAGTAAAATAGTTTGTCAATCTAGATTTGATTCTAATGTCACGTTAAACCTCTAGTAAGTGTCGTATACAGGGTGATCCAACCTACGGCAAAAGATTAAGCAAGGGACATGTTTTTGACATTTATAAATGTGAATTGCATATTTTAATAAATTAATTTTTTTCAAGAGAATTACAGAGACTTCTAACTTCTTAAAGTTGGATCCTAAACTAAGATAAAGAGTTTTAACATTTTTTTGGAAAAAATACATATTATATCAATTTTCGTGTCAGCTGTGCCAGTAATCAATTGGGTTTTTACTATTTTGCTTAAATAAATGTATTTTTCATCAAAGTGCAGAAAATACTGTGGGATGCAGAATTTTCATTCAAGGCAGTGCAATGATATGCTACTGGGAATGGAAATCAAGAACACACTCAGCATAATCAAAATCTTCTCAAGATTAAAGAAGAAGGAAAAATGGACAGTCTAAAATGCTCGGATATGTGATTATTCTTCTTAACTTCCTTTTCTGCAATGTTAACATATATATATATATATATATATATATTTATTTATTTATTTCTCTGCCAAAATCAGAATTAATTGATATAAAGTTTGTGGTCTCAGAAATTTGAGACCCCATCAAACCACTACAGTCAACACCCGTATCAAAATAGTATTCGTTTTCTCTTATCACCGAGCATAAGACATCTGAAATCTATCGACGTCTAGTTTTGTTAGGAAATTCGCAATTGAATTTGCTTCTCTGTAAGTGCAACATATCGATAGATGTCATGTTAACTTATTATTCAACATGTTGTGATACAAATATAACCAGAATTGGTCATCTTAAGAACAGACTAATGCTTCACACTTCATGGACCTTGACAGCAGAAACCAAACCACCAGGAGGGTATAATACTTGAGAATAACATAGGGAGATGTAAAGTTTTAAAGACACAGGCAGCCTCTCACTTTCAGGTTTTAACTTAAAGAAGTATATCTCAATCAAGATAGGAGTTTGAGGAGTGGAGGAAGCACTAACAACCATGTACCTATGCATAATTGAAACTAATCAAAGACAGACAAACTTGACTTGGAATTGCCAGAAACTGATAAAGATACCTGCACCACTAGATGATCTTGTGATTGCAAATTGTAATGACTGAAAAAAACAAGACTGCAGAATCCAACAAAAACAAGGTCTTCTCAAACTTTAAAACCTTTTTTCCTTCCTCTGCTTTCTCTTACTCCTCTAACTGCACTACCCCAAAGTAGATAAGTTTTATGTAACATTGTACAAAAAAAACAAAAACTGCAAAGAGTAACAAGATAAGGGGCATGATATCAGCAAAAATAGATCTTATATGTTGCATTCTTGTAAATCACAATGGAAACTGATTGAGGCTAGAAAGTTTTCAAGTCAATAGTTAAATTGTGCTAGGCAGCTGCTGTACTTACGTAAGATTAACTAGAATTCTCACAAACAATTTCTTTTTCTTTTCCTTTCAGTTGGAGAAATCAATGATATAGCAAGAGCTTATAGGATGTAGGTGAAGCAAAATATATCATGGGAGGGAAAGAAGAAAGGTCTTCAATCAATGAAATACGCAATATCAACCTTGATAACATTTCTTGAACCTGATCAGGCTGAACTGAGTATCCTAATTTATTAAGACTTTGGATGAAAGGACAGAACGGGTACATGTTTGCTAGTGGATAACTTGTTAGACAAGCAGAAATCGAAACATAGATGAAAAAGCAATCGAAAAGGATCCTAGTTCGATGTTGAACATGATAGAAACAACACCATGGTTAAAAGCGACATATGATCAAAAACTTCCGGAGAGTTGCTCCTGAATATCAAGTTCCTCCATCAGATTCACATGGTTGAGGGGATTGAACATTTCAATGTCAAAAAACTTGTTGGGAAGTTTCATCGGCTGCTGCTGATCAGCAGAGTGTTTGGTCATTGGAAATTTACGTGCAATGACCACTGAATTAATAACTTCATCGGTAGGATGGAATATGGAGAGGACCTCGAATCCTGGTAGATCACAAGGATCGACAACGGGATAAAGGAAAGCCCTAGCACCATGTGCACTCCTCAGCATCAAAAGAGCCCCAGGGGCCATGTACTTAGCCAAATGATCAATGACTCGAACTTTCTCATCCTTGTCCATCCCAACAAGAGCCGCCAAGAAAACAACATCATAGTCTTTCAAAGCATTGGTAACATCCATTATATCCGTGGTGTGGAAGAACATCCGTTCAGATAAATCAGGGTCAGATGAAACTAATTGAAGGGCCTTGGAATTGGCGGAGGGGTCAATATCATAATTGTGGAAAGAGGTGGTGGTAAGGTGGAAAGAGGCCAACACAATCGAGGTGAGGGGAAGGGGGCCCGAACCCACAAAGGCAACCTTGCTAGGGACATTGGAGCAGTGTTTGGTAAGGATGTTGAACTCAAGCAGGCTAAGCTTGAGGTAGTTGGAGTGGTAAGGGAAGATGTTGAGATGGTGAAGAGGGTTTTCGTAGGATCCTAGGATGGTGGAGAAATGGCTCTCCAAGAGCCCCTCGGCTTCCCCGCAAAGTCTAATCAACTTGGACCTGATCTCTTGAATCCTTTTGCAAAGCTTGGTAACATCAATAGGGCTGGGTGGCATGCATGTGACAACGAGTTGAGTGAAGAGCATGTTGACATCTTTGGAAGGTTTGAGACTCTCAAGGCCCGAGATTTGCTCATACAACTCGCAGACTTTTTGTACCAAGGGATCTCTCTCGCAAACCATGTCGACACTATAAGGTTATGGGGGAAAGAACTGATCAAAATTCAAAGGGAAAAAATTAACCCAAAAAAATGACAAAAAAAAAAAATTAAACTCTTTGAGAGCTAGAGACAAGCTCAAGCCCTCCAATGGAGTCATTATTTATGGGCAATCGTGGGGACCACACCATGCGGAGGATTGGCCTTGTTCCTACATTATTCCTAGTAGAAGGTTGCTTTGGATGGCTTTCCTTTCCTTTGGCTTTGTGATTTGTAATTTCAAGCTTTTACCTTATTCCCTGGAACCCTTACTAGGTTTTGGTTTTGTCCTAAATCAAAACATATTGGACATTCTATCCGAAAGAAAGAACAACTTTGGACAGCTTGGGTATCTTTGGATCGATGTCTTCAATGTTTTTAGCATATTAGGCAATCTTTTACACATATAGATTGCATAACTAATATGTTTTTAGCTGAGTTTCATTATCTTAGAGCCTAAATTTCCTCATCAGGTTTTAATTTCATAGCAGGCTTTGTTCAATGAAAGGATCAGACATCAATTAGCTGGTGTAGTTTATGCTTTTTGTTAAGGGTATGTTGATTTTTTTTTTTAACAGAATATTTCATTGATAAATTAAAATTTATTTATTTATTTTTAATATTATCCTCTATATGTTTCGAAGAGCACAGTGATGTGCAGTTAATTTTCTGCTTTTAACATACACAATGTCGACATGATGATGCCATTTTAGTTTTATTTTTTGATGCACATGCATGCAAGACTAATTACTATATATGCACAAAGATATGTAGCATGGTGCTTTGCAGTTAGCTTGAGATCCTTTTTCCATGTTAATCAATAAGGATTGGTGTATGGGAATTATTAATTTATAGTATAGCAAATAAGAGTTAATTATTAGATAGAAATTTCCAACTTCAAGTACCAATCAATTTGCATGAGGAACAATTAGTTGTTCTAGCAAAGGACATTGTTCAAAGGTTTTGAAAAAACTTCTCTCTCAAACAATATAATACTATTTCGAATTGAAATTAATACAATATATGTTTCTTTTGTTAAGTTATAATTATTAACTGTTTTGTTGTAATATATATATATATATATATATATTTGTATCAAAATTTCGATATTAGTAAAAGAATCTTTTTGATTAAGGAGAAAAAAAAATGCTTTTTAAAGACTAATTCCCCAAGATTCCTTTACCTCCATGCTTTCACACTATGGGGTTCTCACAACTTGGAGTTTGAGACTACATCATATAATTACTTACCATTCATTTCCTTATTTCCTTGTAAGAACCAAACAAATAATAATGAAAACAATTGTTCCACCAATAACCCAAAAAAAATAAAAAGGGAAAGAATTGTTCTTTGATTGACGTTAAGCGATGAGCATCACTCTGTTCACACTTAGGCTTTTCTAATTAAATTTCAACCCCAATTGGCCTATCCTATCTTATTATATACATACATACATATGAGCCACCAAATTCAACCTGATTGCTTGTTAAAGCACCCAAATTTGTTGTTGTCGAAAAATGAATTCCTTCTCTTTCCAAAGATATTGCTTGTAAGCATGCAATCGAATGTTACAAACAGTGAGAAATGGAAATTGAAGAAACTAGAAGAGGCCTTTTTATATGAGTAAATTAATGTGATTACATGACAGTTTATGTAATTATATGTATTGATCATATCAGCTGCTCAAGTCATATACACCAACATATAAGATATTATTTATTTTGATTTATTAAATTTTTCGATTTTATCCTATAAAATATGTCTTATAAATTGAAGATAGTGTGAACACTTAATCTTTAATCATACTGTAATACCTAATATTGCCAAAATTGTGATTCTTGTATCAGATCATGACACAACGCGTGTACTTCTCGTGAAATGCTTTGTATGTTCATTGTTGATAAATACATTATAGTATTTGATCAGCTGACGTGAAAGATTAGAATGATTTGTGGGCTCTAGTCTTTTCAATTCTTCCTCTAAATCCAAATTAGGTTCCTCAAGTTTCTATCTCTAAATTAGTTTGTGCTGGTCAACTCGTTCAGAATTTCCTATGTTGTGCATCATTTTCATCTCACACCACTCATGCCATTGGCTCTTGTAGCATCATCATCACCTTGTATAAAGTAGAAACCCTATCAACACTTTCTTTTTTTACTTATTTATCTTCACAATCTACATATACAACTACAAGTTGTACCTTATTGCAAATTTCATGATGTATTAACATTCACTATTCAATTACCCTATGACATGTCAACATCGTTTGACACATTAATATCAAGTCAATATTTTTAATAATAAATTTAAACATAATTACTTATAAAAATCAAATTACATCAAATAACGGAGTACAAAGATTAAATTTGATAAATTTTCTTTTAAAAAAATTAAATTAAATAAAATAACTCTCGTAACCGTGCCACATGAATTTTTGTTTCCACAAAACAACAAATAAATTAAGTCTAAATCTTGAATTTTTGTTGGGCAATATGAACAATGAAAACTTCTTCCATAGAATAAAAAGAAAACCCTTCACGCGACAGTGAAGAATTTTTTTTTTTTAATTTAATAAGTGAATCTTTAGATTATATCTCATGATGTTCTAACTTAGGACATTAGTTCAAATTAATGACCAAGTTCATCGACAAGATCATTAGGTCAAATTGATGTATGATTAGTGATCATAGATAAAGATGATCATTTGGCACCTGCACTAGCTATAAAATCCTCTACTGGCACAGTTTGCTTTGACACCATGATTCTCCCTCTCTTTATATCTCTTATCTCTGCCCTTGTGATAGTTTCAACTATCTAAAAGACAAGATGCCCCTACATAAATTGGATGGCCACTTTTGAAGCTAAGTATATGTTGACATTCTTATGCTCGATGAACATGAAAGCTATCTTTCCAATTTAAAAATTCTAGCCTTTTGGGGTATGAGATAATCATATATAGTGGTGCTTCTTTTCCTTGTTGTTTGAATATTATATTTTGTTGATGCCCCCTTTTTCATTTTGGATTCAATGGTGAATATTAGAGATCATCAATCTCTTTTAAAGGTAGTGCCTGCCGACCCTATCATTGCAACACACACCCTTTTCTGGCTTAGGAGTTTTCTCCCTTTTTGTTTTGAGTTTTGACCTCCTCCAGGCCTAGTGAAGGTGCCATGGCAAAGGCTTTTTCCATTGTTGTATGAACTTTACAAGCTACTGATTCAAACAAGAGATACATGGAAGTTTTCTGTATTAGATACATAAGAGATAGTCTTCATTCTTTTCTATTTATATGATAGTTAGAACCTACAAATGGTCAACTTTCACTGTCATTTATGACCAATAAAACTTGAGATTGTTTAGGAATGAAACAAAGGTTGGGAAGAGAGTTTCATTCCAAATTGAAAAGTGAAAGCACTGAGGCAAGTCATCATCATATATGCTTGAATGTGTAGACATTCATAGCACATCATTGTCATGAGAATGAGAGAATAAAAGAAACCAAATCCAAATGACTGAATTAAGGGCTGCTTTTGAGCAATGTGTTTGATTCTTCTTTAGGCCAATTTGGCCACTTTCAGCCCCAGCAATAGGTCTTCTAGCAGGCTACCGAGACTACTCGACGTCGAAGTTGCTGCACTTTTTCCATAGGGCCTAAGCAACCTTTTTCAGAGGCTGGTAGGGTTGGTTTGTTGACACTCCAACTTCCAGAAATAAGTCTCACCACTTTTTGTTTATTTCATTTTATTTTAAAAGCAAGCTTTCTTGCATAAAAGCTCTCACAACACTCACTGCAATTAATGCGTTTGCTTGGATGTTTTACAAGATAGAAATGGGAACAGAAAGGAAAATATGTGGTGGAGCCAAGCCAATGAAATGTTAGTTGTTGGACCATCAAAGAAGTCAAATAAATTGTGGCCACTTGGGGCCTTGGGTATGAGGAGTCGCCTCATGTTTGTATGGGCCTTTGTGTTTTTTTTTATTTGATTAGACCTCCTCTCCACTCTGCTCCATGCAAACGTTACCCCTTCAGCTGTCATCTAACTGCCATTTGGAATTGGACTGCTGCTTGCCTTCTGCTCCACCCTACATCAATTAGCGTTCTTAGGATTTTGCTTTGATTTTCCATTTTTATTCTTTTGATGATTTATATCTAGTATTTTCTGTAAGAACTTTCACAAAATCCTTAAAGTTTTGGGCCTAAAATATTTGTGTTTCTTCATCCTAATCCAATCACCCTACAAAGCACACGGGAGTCTCTACATGCAATGCTTAGAGAGCTTTCAAGTCCATGACCGATCCAAGCCCAAAGCTAAGAGGTTTTTCTTAGGTCACAGTGAATTGTGCTCAGCATGAACCCCATAAAGCAACATTCTTAATCTTAAATTGACATTATGATTGCGATTAGCAATGAAAAGATTCTGGGAGAAACAATAAGAAAGGGAGAGGGGAGCCTAACCTAGTTCTTGCTGCCTCAATTTAAGTTTATCTCCAGTAATGGAATGAACAGGCTATAACCATGAAATGTTATAGAACGCTTTGGATTTGCAGGAATGGATTGGCATGATCAATCAGAAAACACCCTTTGAGCCTTTGTCATTGTTAGCCAGTATCTGACAGGAGGGAGGGTGGAACTGCAGGCCAAAAGTCGAGGTTTGCGCCAAAATCTCATGGGGAAGGAGCCAAAAGTCAAGTTCAGTGCATGAAATGAAATGAAATCTATCAGGCAGGCATGGTTCTGTCGTTGAATAGCAACACTTTTTCATGTATGCACTACTCATTCATGTAACCAGTACAGCATGGATCTCTAAAAAGAAACTTCATTGATTTCTTGGGGCCAGAAGAAGATCAAATAACCGTGTAACTGAGAGTAAAAGAATCAAACAAGAGTTTCAAAATGATTTAAGAATTACTAACTAATGATAACTTCTCTGTCGAAACAATATAACATGACTTTGTGACAACACTATTGATACATCTATACATGTAATTTGGGCGACTAAACTTCAGTTTATATTGAATCTGCATTCATCTTAATTAAAAAATAACAACAAAATGAACTCAGTATATATTCACCAGAAGCTAGAGCTTTCTTGTGATTCAGAGCTCTCATCAGGTGGAGATTCATAGATATCTGAATTTTCGTAAGCATAGGAATCCTCAGAAACTTCCGATTTTTCATAAATCGGAGCCTCATGATTTTCGCTTTCTTCCATTTGAACAAATTGAAGCAAGTAATGTACTCCATTAACCACATCATAAACCATCAAACCAATCCTACCTCCAACCCAACTCCCCAAATGACTTCCCACAAGATAACCAACCCTCCCGAGCCTTTGCTCACCGAGAAAACCCCCACCATAGGCACCAAATAATGTTCCAGTACCCCTCAGAAATCCCTCGGCAATAGTACCACCATAGTATATAGCTTCAAAAAAATCCCATCCAGAGGAAATAATAGGACCTATAATGCGCTTGGCTTGTCGTGTTGCCAACTTCGCCGCCTTTTTCCCTTCTATTTGGGCTAGTTTAGCCGCATCTTTAGCAGACATTCCTTGTGAGACCGCATCCTCTATTGCCATCTCAATTGCAACATTCCTTGCTCTCTCAACATGAGCGGATCTAATGTTGTAGAAATAAAGCTTCACACCCTCCTTCACTGCACAAGCCACGGAACCAGAGCCCATATCAAAGCAATTTAATATAGTAAATTTCCCACTTTGGGATGATGCCTCCTCCCCAACCAGTTGCCTGCATTTTTCAGCTATAAAATGAAAAAAAGAATCAAATTAAAGAGTCATAAAGTTATACAACTGAGCAAGAAAAATGCATATAAGAGTATTGGAAAAGGCAGATATTGACATACTTTTAGTATAATTCTGAAAAATACATGAAACCCAGAAATGTAAAGAGGGTCATTACCCAGTTTAAAGAACTAACAAATTAGTTCATAGAAGTTAACAAACAAGAGAAAAATTAACATAACTTGAATCAAAGACTCTAAAATTTACTTTCCACAAAGTCAAAAAAAATTATTGCAATAAAGGTCAAATTTTTAACATCAACAAACAAATGCAATCAATTAAATCATTCAAAATATCATTTCTATATCTATTCAAGGCAAAATTTCACCAATATGGAAAGAAATTAAAGCCCAATGAAACATTAATTGCAAATTGGAGGACATTTTTGGGGGGGTTTTACCTGTGATACTGAGGATGATGACTCCAGCGACGAAGAACAAAAGCTGAGATCTTTTCTTTTGGAAATCCATCGGCAACTGTTTCAAAAGAGAGAAATTGGCCAAATTCTTGAAACATATGTCCCTAATTTCCTAATTTCGTTAGCCCTAATTCTGGGTTTAAACAGAGGAGACCATGAGATCAGAGTCAAGACGCAGAGAATCTGTTGCCCGCGTGCAGTGAAAGCTCATAGTTTATCGTGGGCCAGAGGTGGTCCAAGATCTGTTTCAAGCCCACTACAGTAAGCAATTTGAAGGTCAAAATCTCAACTTTTCTTTTATTTTTTTACTTAATTCTACAGATTCTCATTGTTGTCACTATTTAAATTTATATTCTTTATAAAAATTTAGAAATTGAAGATTTGCATTATTATTATTTTTTGTAATAGGGTGAAGAGTATACCAAGCTTTGCTCAGGTGTAATGCCCTTTTCGAATGATCTTAAAGATGCAATCTTTACATGTACTTGATTCATTCAAGATTTCGCCCCTTGAATGCTCTTTACAAAGATCGAAACTTGATTGACAAGGAAAGAAGATATTCATCATGACTACATATTTATAGTTTCTTTTATATCATCCAAACTAGAGTGTCCTATGATTACTTGATCTTTGGGGTCCTTGATCTTTAAGGTGTGGTTACTGATCACAATTGCTTTCAAGTACATGATATCCCCTTCTTTAGTTCTGGACTTGATTGATTTCGATGCCGAAAACAATCATTTGAAGTAACCTGAATATTCCCTCACTACCATTTCCTTTGGCTCATCTCAATGCCTGAATGAGCATGGCGTAGCAGAGTTGAACTGCTGCAATAATGAAAGACTTTGTGCGTGTGGGGCTGTCGGGTTTAAGAACACTTCATTTGCTTAGTAGTTTCACGGATAGGCAGATTTTCTATGAGAAACATGAAAAAATGAAAGTTAAACTAAAGTATCTTTAAACTTAAAGAAGATAGTATGCTTTGACAATTAAATAAACGTTTCAACCAGAAAGTTAGAAACAGTACCTGAATCAGAAACATGTGAGTTCCAAAGACTTGATGAGCGTGTTGCAGTATCCTTTGCAAGATAAGCATATAAATGCATGCTGTAGGGACAGAACCAAGATCATATATGCTGCCAAGGTTGTACAAAACGATTGGAACTATCTTTTATAAACTTTAACATGATGAACTACTTGACATTTTCTCAAATCAAGTGATCAACAAGCCAATAAAATAATTGGCCATGGTGATACCAAATAAGTCTTTCTTTTAAAAGGGTTATCAGCTGGCTGAGATGCTATACAGATGCCCTTCTATGTCTGGAACAAAGCCTTTCTCCACCATTTCCTCTTTAACTATCTCATAAGTTGTTCGATTTGGGATCAAACCCTTCTCTAACATCTCATTGAGAAGTCCATTTGCATCTTCTAGTTTGCCCTTCTTACAAAAACCCTTTATCAGCACATTGTATGTTACAACATTAGCCCGCCTCCCGTCTTTCTCCATTTGTGTTCTAACATTCAAAGCTGCCCTGAGGTTTCCCTCCCTACAATGGCCAAGCATCAAAGTATTATAAGTCACATGATTTGGTCTCAAACCTATCTTAACCATCTCATCCAAGACTCTTGCTGCCTTTCTTGACTCTCCTTCCTTGCAAAATGCATCTATCAGTATATTATATGTTACAACATCAGCTTTCAAACCATTCTTTCTCATTTCATTAATGAGCTTACTAACAACTGGAATGTTTCCCTCTCTACATAAACCAGCAATTAAGCAGTTATAGGTTGCAATATCAGGGAAAATACCTCTATCTACCATAGATTTATGCAGAGCAAATGCATCCTCCATCCTCCCATCCTTACAATACGCATCTATCAGGGTATTATAAGTTATAACAGTGGGGGCAATCCCTTTTTTCACAATATCATCAAACAAGTCAGTAGCTTCCTTCATCTACCCTTCTTACCAAACCCATTTATAAGTACTTATAAATAACAACATTTGGCTTCAAACCTAATCCTACCATTTCATCCTGCAGACCAATAGCTTCATCAAGCCTCCCCTCCAAACACAATCCATTAATCAAATTATTATACGTAACCACAGTAGGTTTCAAACCCAGTGTTCGCATTTCTTCAAACACCCTCATAGCAGCCAATACATTCTCATCCTTACAAAACCCATCAATCAATATATTGAAAGTAATCTCATTAGGTCTAACTTCACTCGCAATCATTTCCTTCAAAATAGCATCTGCTTTGTACATTTTCCCAATCCCACCTTTCTTGCAATAACCATATAAGAGTATTATAGGTAAATACATCTGGCAAAAACCCCACGCCTTCATGTCCTGAATAGCATCTCTTGCTTATTCAATTTCCCAACTTTACACATCCATTAATATATATATAAAACTAATTACATTAACCTCAACCCTCCTTAATCATCTCTATTTATACACATACTCGACATCCCAATCTCATTCTCCTTCACAAAAGCACTCAACAGAGGATACAGGATGTCACTGATAACTTAAAACCCATAGTCACCAGCTCTCTTAAAAGCCTCAAATCCTAAACGGGTTTTCATATTCTCCACATAAGCCAATACCACCATATCAGCAATTATTGACTTAACACAAAAACTATCACCACATATCGAAATAGCATGAAAAACAGAAGGAACTGAAATGGAGTTCTCATTCTTCACAAAACCATGCAAAAAAGATCTAACTTTCGGATACCTTTTAGTATTAGCAAGTGAATGTAACAGCTTACAACTGAGTTCTAATGAGTGGGAGAGATTGAACTCTTTCTCTGACCATCTAAAGTACCTACAATATAGCAACAACAAAACAAATTAGCACCCAAAGAAAAACAAAAAATAAAAAAAAAATCGGGTACCCTTCAAGCTGGGTTCCATAAAGTACCTTAGAGTCAGTTCTGGGTCAGTCTTAGAATCAAGCAGTTGTTGAAGAAGTGTGCTGGGGCTTACGTTTTGCAGATGGGATTTGAGCTTATTCCAGTGTTGTTTTGATAATAGTTCTGTAATGCTTGGTGATGGGATGTTGTCTGAGGAGAATAGCTTAAAGGCATGCTTGTTTCCGGGGAAAATGTTCCCGAGTCTCAACTTGCTATCAAAAAGGATGGATCTTCGATGCATCAAAGAGAGACGCGGCTGAAAGCAGGGTTCTTTTGAGAAGAAACGAAACGAGGAGCATATGTACATCCCAACTCTATTGGTATCAAAGCCCCTTAAGACCTTTATAAGTGAGACCTAAAGAGCCGGGCTTAGCGGACTGTGGGGCCGGGATCCTCTCTCCATACTTCGTGGTGAACCGCACGCGCCTCGTTGCCATCCAACGGGGCTGTCTATGTTGGGGTCTTTCTCCGGTGTTCCCCGTGTGGTAAAAAAACAAACCCCAATGCTCTGCGAGCTAAAGATCCCGAGTGGACTTCTTGGGCCCTCAAGAGGTTTGCCGGCGGGAGCTCGTTACACAGCTGGACGCGTGTACGCCAGAGCTATCCTGTTTCCTCGCCTCTTGGCCACCCCCAACCCTCTTTTTCTTTTTCTTTTGAATTGCTTGACTAAGGGTGACATGCTTGCAAAATGAATATATCCCATAGTTTTATATTCATTTTCATCAGGATATTTTACAAGTTTTGTCCTGATAAAATTAAATTTTGTTAGAAGTGCAACTTTCTTGCTGAATAATAAAAAACATGTTTTTCTGAGATATGTGTTGTCTTTGGTTGGAACGCAAAGGGTAAGGATTTAATGCTTTGGGATTTGTCTTCATGGTTCTACAATCTAGATTGTAAGTTGGTTCTAATAGAAATTGCTAGAAATCTCTAAGAGGCAAGAAGCAAACCAAGTTGGCAAGTAACAATTTGTCTGCCTTACAACACTTCCTAGCAAAAGTTATCCTTGCAAATGACTCTTCCTCCTTGAAATAATGTAAACGAAGCAAGATGCATCAGTGTTGTGTCCTGGTTTCATATCCCAGATGCTAAATGTTTCTTATTTTTAGGAACAAGTCGCCTGTAGTTTTTTACTGAAACAGGGAGTGTAGGACTTCTTTATCAGGACATATTCGTACTTACGATATTCCAAGATAAGGGCAAAACGGTCAACACATCCCATAATCCAAGGGTTTATGAGGGGCTTTAGTAGCTCCAACCTCCAACCTCCAACCTCCCCAAAACCCAAATTTCCCTCTTCAAAACTTACTCCAATGGCGCTTCTGCCGCTGCCAGTTTAACCAAACGCCGCCATATAAGATTCAAGTTCTGTTCCTCTATCCCCACCAATGCTGAAACTGCTATCCTCCTCCTCTTCTCGCGTCCACTGCCTCACCACAGCAACTCCGAGCCTCCGAGTCCAGCCCGATTCCAATTCGGTCTTCCATGCATTGGGTCGACTTACCGGGTTGACTCGGAGGAGCCCCACGAATTCGCTCTTCAGGGCTTTCTTCTGTTCCGATTCCAGCGATGGGTCCGGGTCGAATTCCGGGTCCGAACCAGCGGTTGAGGTCGAGGTAAAGGGAGTCGAGTCTGAGTCCAGTGGGCCTGACTCGAAAGCATCGTCGGCGATCGTGCCCACTTACCCCAGGCCAGAGGATTATTTAACGGTTTGTTTTGGAAATTATGAATCTTTCTGCGGTGGGAGTTTGTTTAGTTGCTGAGAAAATGAAGGAAGATGCTTTTTTGTTATGAATGAAAAAAATCTAGTTTTTATGATCTTTGTTCCTCTTTAAAATTGTTATAATTTGGTCAATGCGTTAATGGTTCTTACTGTTGCAGGCTACTGGTTATGTAAAGTTAGTTTTTTATCATTTCATTTCATTGTTTGAGTTAATGAAATGAGAGTAAATTAGTGAATTTGCAAATCCTTATATTTTTTTGTACTTTGTTACCCTCTAAAACATACAACTTGTGAAGGTGTTTTTTTTCTTGATGGTACTTGTTGAAACTATGAACTGCATTTTCAAATAATGCTCTGTATTTGTTCTGTCCCGCATATGTTTAACGAATTCTTTATCGTATTTTGTTTGCAGGTTTTGGCATTACCTTTGCCACATAGACCTCTTTTCCCAGGTTTCTACATGCCCATTTATGTTAAGGTAAGGCATGCTTTCCACTTAAATGGAGTATGAAATTCTCCCCATGTTCCCTTAGGGTAGTGCAT